TGCCTTTCATAACTGGATTGTGGTGCTTCTTCTCAGGGTTGGGGTGTTGCTGTGCTAGTTGGTGTCCCGAGCAAAGATGATGCATTCAAAACAAGCCCAGTGAATTTCCTAAATGAGAGGACTCTCAAGGGTACCTTCTTTGGCAACTACAAACCCCGCACCGACATTCCCAAAGTTATCGACCAATACATGAACAAGGTGAGTTCCTAACATCTCTTCCTTTAATCGTGTTTAACCCAAGCCACCCCCAGACATCCAAACAACCCCACAAATACTAACTTCATTCTTTCTTGATTCCAATAGGAGCTAGATCTGGAGAGACTGGAGAAGTTTGTAACTCACTCTGTGCCTTTCTCGGAGATCAACAAAGCATTTGAGTACGTGTTATCCGACCAAGGTCTCAGGTGCATGGAACATTAGACAATGGATCCACTGGCGTGGCTCCGGCGCTTCTCAAAGCCAAAATCCCTTTTTTCCAATTTATAAATATATATATATATATATATATATATTGTTCTCCTATGTCTTCTCCTTTTCCAGCATGCATTTTTTGATGGATTTTTTTGTCTCTGAAACGGAAACGTGATCCAACATTTCTTTTTGTCCATAAACAGAATCCTAATTGAATCAGATCCACCACTTCAAATTTGATTGTCAACTAAACAGGCTATTCTTCCAATTCCATACAAATTAAGATCACTAAAGCTGGAAGTTATCCTTGTTTTCTTACCATCTCAAAATTCATTACCACCTCCTAGTTGTCAACACAAATTTGTCATTTTCATTCACTCTTGGATCAGTCATAAATTGTCATCAGCAATTGGATTAGTCATAAAATCTCATCGATACTTGGGTCCGTCATCTTCATGCACGCTTGGATTAGTCATATAATCTCATCCATAAATTCTCATCAGCACTTGGAATAGTCATAAAATCTCATCCACTCTACTTGGGTGGCCCCCCTACACCTCATCGTTGGTTAACAATCCAAAACATCTACAACAAAGCCGCAAAAGACATAAAAAGAGTCACCGTCTTCTGATCTACTCCTAACCAATATCCAAGAAGGAAATTGTTGACCTTAATTTTGATGCGTCCAAATTTAATAGAACTGTAAACTTATTTTTTGCATACTTTTTATTTGATTAATTAAATTTTTTTTATTTTAATTTTGATGAGAAAAGTTCAATTCAAAATGTGAAAGGGTTAATTTCAAAGATTGGGATGTAATTATTTAATTTCATCTTTAGAAAGTAAATTTTTAGAATTCTTTTATTATTATGAAAGGCAGTAATTGCATTTTAATTTTGGAATTATGTATATAAAATCAAATATAATGTCTAATTGTTGAATGAAATATATTTCTAAAAGAAATTGAGTTTCCTTCTCAAATTTTCTCCAAAATGCTTCTTTGTGTAAAAGGGTGTGGAACCAAATAAAAGGGTTTTGAATTTTTTAAGCTACTGTTTTTGAATTTGTTTTATATTCAAAAAAAGTTCTAATACGAAGGGTTAAATGCAGGAACTTTTGAGGCTACTATTTTTTATACTTATATAGGACTCAATGAGAAAGTTCCAACACCAAGTAAAAGGTCCAACACTTTTGCAAATATTCAACACCAACAGCCAAGATATTTAAAAGATTGTCTGGGAACGAATGAAGATGGTTTGGAACTAAAGTTTGAAAGACAAGTTTTACATTTCGAATTAAACTTAATTATTTCTAAATTAAGGGCAATGGCTAGAAGTCTTAATTGAGCATTCTTAGAGAATAAATAGAAGTCATTTGGAGGCTAAATCATGTAAAGAGGAAAGAAACAAGAGCCTTTATCTTTGAGAGTTATAGCTTTTCATAATTTTTGTGCTTAAATTTTTCATTTTGATTATCTAATCATTGTTCTCTTCATTCTCATTCATCAAGAAAAGTGAGAGAGAGAGATTGAACAATCTTGTTAGATCTAGAAAAACCATCCTAATGATATAAGATTGAGTTTGTGAAAATTGTAATAAAGGCTTAGTTTGTTGAAGGTGGATAGCGTTGAGAAATCTACTGCAGATGGTTTCCTCTACACCTTGAACTTAGAGGAAAAGCTTTGAATCCAAAACAAACTCTTAAGCAAGTGACTTAAGAATTGGATTAAATACAAATTATGCCCAAACCATTATAACTCATCATGTTGAGCTTTTCCTTCTTTTACTCTTTTAATTTCTGCATTTTAATTTATGAATTTGTAATTGCATGAGCTTATTCATCCATTTATACATAAAAAGTAATAAGTTTTCAGAAGCCCAATTCAACCCCCTCTTGGGTTGCCATCATATAAGCCAACAAAGAATTCTCTAAATCACCAGCACTGAACTCTATAGCCTACAAGCCCTCTTTGCAGAATAAACCCCATTCCCATTCAAGATCCAAATCCTCTTAGCTTTTTTTTTTTCTCCTTCATTAAACTAGCAGGTCCTTAAAACCTCCCATCAAGCCCTCTCCCAAATAAAGCCATTCTCCACCTAAAATCTCAAACCCCCCTTACTCCTAACCAATATCCCAATTGCAAGTACATGCATTCCTTGCAGAAGATAAAGAACATAATTCAATAGGAAAATTCCACTTTAAAGTTCTCTTACACAACCAACCATTTTCCCAGAAAGGACACCATTTAAAATTTTAAACATTTCTCACCCCTGCTTCCTCCGTACCAAAGTACCAATCAAAATAATATCCCTCCACAGCCTCAATTGAAATATATGTTTATCAAACATAACTAAAGGTATCAAATCATCAAATCAAATTATAAAACAAGATAATACGAATATAAGATACAATACATTTTGCAATGAATGCACACATTTGTGTCCTCTTTTATCAAAATAAAGCTTCCTTCACAAAGCTAACTAATTTCCCCAAACTGAGAAAAGACTGCAGACATAGGTTTCTGCAGAGCGAAAATAAAAAGGCACACCTAAATTTAGCACCTGTCCAAAACGGGGAATATAATCAATGTGTTGTGTACCAACGTTGTATGACACCAGATCCCTCCCATTATTATACTCCACAAGAATATCATCATCCTTCCAAAACAGCAATGGTTTTCTAGCAATTGGAAACAACCTTACCGTTGTTAATTGAGTCCAAACTCCATTAACTCCAGATTCATTCCTCACCCATACCTTCAACAATTTCTCT